TCCTTTTGATGTCGTCAGGGTCTGCAGTGATGTCCCTCCCACTTTGTTACTCATGTTGGTAATTTGAGGTAGTGTTTTCTCCTTTTTATTTTGTCAGGCTTGTCAGTGTTACTTGTCCTTTTGAAAGAACTATTTCATTGATTTTTCTGTTTTCAATTTGATTGATTTCTGCTCTTTGTTATTTTCTTCTGCTTGCTTTGAGTTTATTTCACTCTACTTTTTCTAGATTTTTTTGAAGTAGGAACTTAGATGATTGGTTTAAGACTTTTCTTTTCAGTTATGGCCCACAAATTTTGATACCTTCTATTTTAAGTTTTATTTAGTTCTATGTATTTTAAAATTTCTATTAAGAAATATATTGTTGAGTTTCAGCTATCAAGTGATTTTTTTCATCTTTTTGTTGCCTTTTAGTTATTAACTTCTAGTTTGATTGTGTTATGATCAGAGAAATTTACTCTTTGTAATTTCAAATTTTTTTTAAACTGTTGAAGTTTGCTTTATGGACCAGGATAGTCTATCTCGGCTTATATTCTGTGGGCACTTGAATGTGCATTCTGCTCTTGTTGAGTGGACTGTTCTGTAAATGTCAGTTAGATCCTGTGGTTGGTGATGATACTGAGTTCTTATATCCCCTTGCTGATTTTCTGTCTAGTTCTGTCAGTTGTTGAGAGGGGGCTGGTGAAGTTCCAACTGTAATTGTGGATTTGTCTCTTTCTCCTTTCAGTTCTGTAAGTTTTTCCTTCACATTATTATAATTTTTTTGTTTAGTACATACACATTTAGGATTGTTAGGTTTTCTCGGTAGTTTGACCCTGTTTTCATTATGTATTATCCTTCTTTGTCCCTGGTAAGTTTCTTTTTAATTATCTGATACTAATATAGCCATCATGCTTTCTTTTTGTATTGTTAGCATATCTTTTCCATCCCTTAACTTCAACCTCCCTATATTTTTCTATTTGAAGTGAGTTTCTTATAGACAGCTCAAAGTTAGGTTATGTTTTAAATGCATTTCTACCAAATCTCTGTCTTATGATTGGTGTAGGTACACCATTTACATTCATGTAATTATTGATATGCTTAGGTTTGCCATTTTATTTGTTGTTTTCTGTTTGTTTTTTCTGTTTTTCATTTCTCTGTTTTCTTTTTCCTGCTGTCCTGTGGGTTACCTGCATATTCTTTAGAATTCCATTTTAATTTATATATAGTGTTTTTGAGTACATATATTTGCATAGTTATTATAGTGGTTGCTTTACATTATGTATACATAACATCATATGTGCTTATCACAGTCTGTTGGTGTTATCATTTTATCAGTTCAAGTCAAGTATGTAAACGTTACCTTTTTTCATGTTCCTTTACTTTGTTTCATTTATAATCGTTTTAAATGTTTCCTTTACATAATATATTTCTAGCTACAATAGTGTTAAAATTTTTTCTTCAACCTGCACATATAGCTTTGAAAACTCAGAAAGCCTATGTGTCTACCCGTATTTTTGCTTACCTGGTTCATGCTTCCTTTCTGATATTCCAAGGTTCCATCTTTTTATCATTTTCGTTTTGTTTAGAGAACTTGTTTAGCTGTTTTTTGTGGGGGTAGGTGTGCTGGCCACAAATTATCTTGGTTTTCTGTTGTCTGAGAATGTCTTGATTTTTCCCTTAATTCTTGTAGGATATTTTCTCTGGGTATAAGATGCTGGGTTGACATTTCTTTCAACTCTTGAAAAATACTGTGCCACTCCTTCTGGCCTCTATTGGTTTTGATGAGAAATCGGCTCTTGTTGGAATCCATTTCCCCCTATAGGTTAGGTGTTTTCTCTCTCTGATATCAAGGTTTTCTCTTCTGTTTAGTTTTTAGAAGTTTGACTATGATGTGTCCTGGCATGGATTGCTTTGGATTTATCTCGTTTGGTATTTTCTTAGTTTCTTGAATCTGTAGGTTTATGTCCTTTGCCAACTATGGGAAATGGAAATGTTCATATATGGAAGGTCATTATTTCTCACAGTACTTTTTGTCCTCTCTTTCTTCTTTCCTCCCTGTACTCCAGTGACATGCAAATATTAGGGCTTGTTAGGTCTTTTCAGGTCCCTGAAAGCTCTGTTCTTTTTTTTTTTTTCCAGTTTATTTCCTTTCTATTGTTTAGATTGGATAATTTCTTTTGTTCTATCAGTTCACTGATTTCTCCCCCCACTATCCTTTCCATTCTGCTATTGACCTCATTCACTGAGTTTTTTATTTTGGTTAGTGCAGTTTTCAGTTTTAAAATTTACATTTGATTCCCACTTCTGTGTATCTTCTGTTTATTTGCTGAGACTTTCTATTTCTGCTTCAAGTGTGTGGAATTACTCATTCAAGCAATTTTATGATAGCTACTTTAAAATCTTTGTTAGATAATTCTAGCGTCTCTGTCATCTTGTGTTGATATTTCTTGATTGTCTCTTTTATTTAGTTTAAATTCTTCCTGGTTCTTGGTATGATGATTGTTTCCCCCTCCCCCCCCCACGTCAGTCCTCCCGACCTCAGGCAAATATCTGATTTGGTTTAGTTACCATAAGTTATATTTGCCTAATTTTTGAGAGTCATTCTTGTTTTATCAGCAATTTTCTCTTCTTTATTGCTGAATGGTATTCTGTAGTGTGGATATACAGTTTGTTTACCCGTTCACCTGCTGATGGACGTTGAATAGTGTCTGATTGAATGGAGTGTTCTGTAAATGTCAGCTCAACTTGATTGGTGGTGGTGTTCATGTCTTCTGTACCCTTTCTGTCTTTTCTGCCTATTTGTTTCATCTCTTACTGAAAAAGGAGTGTTGAAATACCTAATTAATTCTGTACTTTTTTTGTTCTTACTTTCAGTTATGTCAGTTTGTTCCATGTGTTTTGTGTATCTGTTTTGGAGTATATATAGTTAGGAGTCTTACGTCCTCTTGCTGAATTGACTCCTTTAACATTACGAACTCTGTCTCTGGTGGTAATTTTTTTCTGATACTGTGAACACCAGCTTTTTCATGATCAGTGTTCTGTGGGGTATCTTTTTTATCCTTTTGCTTTTAACCTATGTCTTTGTAACTGAAATGTGTTTCTTTTAGATAGCATGCTGTTCTTGCTTTTTGTCCATACTGGGAGTATTTACCCTTTACTTAGAGTAATTATTATTTACATTTAATACAGTTATCAGTATGGTTGGTTTAAAGTCTCTCTCACAACTTGTTTTCACCCCCTGAAAAAGCCAGGGTACCAATAGAGCTCATCACATTTATTTTCCTTTTTTCAGGGATTATAGTCCTGTATTGCCTGTTGTCCAATATTTGAAAACTGTTCCATGTATTTTATCCAGTTTTATAGGTATTTATTACAGGAGGGTAAGCCCCTCCCCATTTTTGTCAGCATGATTGGAAGCTCCTATGGTGGTTTTAAAATAAATATCTTGAGTTCCATTCCAGACTAGATTCCCTGGGGTTTATGCCTAGGCTTCCTTTCCCCACCTCACACCCCTTTTTCTTTTCTTTCTTTTTTTTAAAGTTCATTGAGATTCTGGCACACAGTCAAGTCTGAGAATCATAGCACTAGGGTTTTGGGATCAAGCAGAGATAATTTGAACACATCGAGTATTGGGTCTTAGTGTATCTTACGTGTGGAGGTGCTGACATTTTGGACTTTGATCAGACAAAATACAGAGAAGATCAGCTAGCAAGGAAGGAGGCTATGTACAAAAAACCTTATTGAAAGGAAGGTACAAAATACATTTTCGCTCTTTGGTAGTTTTGGAGCTAAGGTTTATCCTGTCTTCTTTCTCTTAGACACCAGATGAAAGATAGTTGCCAGGCTCATCCGTTCTTTGCTCTCCTGTCCGATACTGTGGTAGAACCTTACTGTTACTTAATCTTCAGACAGATTAGTAGATATGAGGAGAATGAAGCTGTGTGCGTAATAACCCATTTCTATGGTTTTAGGACCAAATCCCTTGCTCAAGCTTTCGCTCTACTCGTATTCTCAGCAAACTAATGGAAGTTGAGAGAGAATAGGGTGACTCTGATCCATTTCTTCCTCGCCCCCTACCCTGCCCTCTCCTGCCTTCTCTGCCCGACTCCATTCACTCTGAACTCCACCCCAGAGTTCTTTGTTAAGTAAAGGATGTTGAGGTAATATTTTTATTTACAGTGTATGTAGCATTTGGGTATTTGAAGAAACTAAAGCTGATATCCTTCTAGAAGTGATTTATCCAAATAGAATAAACAGAAAAGGATGAATATATCCCTCAGGAGATCTGAACTTGTAATGCTAAGGGACCACCAGAATAATAAAATTTATTTGAAGTCTTATTTTGGTTTAAAAATTAATGCAAACTGTACATTTAATTCTTTCATGTATCATTATTTGTTTTAATACAAGTGTTTTAACTAGCCACTTAGTAGAACTGACCTTCCAAAAGAATGTACCGTCTTTATCCTGTGACTTCATATGCCTTTTGATAAACCCCTAGATTTGTAACTTCCCTACTTGGTGAAGCACAACAATAGAAACAGGTTTAGTTTCTAAATACTAAGTTACACTGTGGATGATACAGGACTTGGAGGTACACCCACCAGATACTTGACACATGTTTACGTGAATGTTGCTTTGAGGAGAAGTGTGTTTCAAATTCTAGTGAACCATCTAGTAGTCAGCATTTTTTTTCTCACCTGAAGAATGTGGCTCAGGTTGGTTGCCACAGGAAACAGAATGCTATGGTGCCTTTTCTGGACTTGTTGATTTCTAGCTGACCTAGTTAAAACACTGTTGTCAAGGATAGCTGGAGTCCTCTGAGTGAGGAGTTGGTTATTTAAGACCTACCAATGATCATCTAATCCCAGATATTTTCTTTATTCCTTGCATTCCTATAGGGTGAGTTGTCGTGAATACAGATGTACTGGTGCCCAGTCATCAAGTGTAATAGAAAGCAGTGGTTTCACTTATATTTGGGTTTCCACTGAAAACATTGATTTTTCTTTGCTATTCTACAGTACCTTCTCCAGGCAAATTCCGCTCCCCTGCAGCACCATCTCCTTTGGCTCTCCGGCAACCAGTAAAAGCATTTAGTAACCATGGCTCTGGTTCTCCTGGTAGCCAAGAAACAACACAACTTATGCAAACCACCTCCTCGCCTGGGCCTCCCATGGTTCAGAACACAGTCCCAGCAAATCCTCCCAGCAATATCAACAGCACTACTCTAACCAGACCTGCAGGGACAACCATGATGAGAAGTGGCTTGCCCAGACCTAGTGCCCCTTCTGCGGGGGGTATACCAGTGCCTCGCAGCAAACTTGCACAGCCTGTTCGCAGGTAAGTGGTAAATGCTCTGTTTCAACATCCTTGAGCATAGGAAAGTGGGTAGACTGGAATTACCCTCATCTCTGCATTTGAAAGAGTCCTAGTGGGTTTCCACTAGAGTCTTAATATAGTTTGAATAAAACATTGCTTTCTTGTTTTAAAAATATTCTGACTTGGGACATTAGGGTATATGTCACTTTGGTTCAGATTAAATTTGCCCACATGCCTAAAAATAACATGATTAAGCATCGTGGCAAAACCCTGAAAAAAAATTGTTGGAACCACTCCATTTGGTTGTGATATTTGTTCATTTTGAATATATATATTTAAATTTTTTAATTTGGGGGTAATTGGGTTTATTTGTTTGTTTTTTAATGGAGGTGCTGGGATTGAACCCAGGACCTTGTGCATACTAAGTACATGCTCTACCACTGAGTTAAACCCTCCCCCTCTTCATTTTTAATATAATAATATTCAATATATTAAATATATTGAGTAATATATAAATATATTAAAATATTTGTTTTATATATAATAAATAGTTATATTATATATGATATAAATGTATCAAACAAGTATATTACTATTATAAATATATTAAATAATATATAATAAATATATTAAATAATAAATAAATATGTTAAAAGCATATTAGAACCAATAAATATATTAAAAGCATATTAGAACCTAGAGTGAGATTTACATAAAACTTCTAGCTACCAAGCCTGAGTATATAATCCAAGAGGGTAGTTTTCAAGCTTTGCTACAATTCAGTATCTTCTATGGAATTTATGTAAATATAGAGGCCTAACTTTTATCCACAAAAAGCAGATCTGGTAGGAAACCCAAAATCTGTGGGTATGCTTTTTTATTTGTTTGTTTAATCTTCAGGTAATTCTGGGCCTAACCATGTTGGGAACCATGTATCTGTAATCTTCTGCCTTTTAGGAATGTGATTACCACCATCAGTAAACTTAGGTGTCAAATCTAACTAAACTTGAAGTATTTATTTGCATGGGGGGGAGAAAAAACTTTTGTGCCATAATTACCCATACTTCTTTTTTTCTAAGATGAACATACTGCATTGTAACATTAGTAGTAGAACACGACAGCTTTCTGCTGTGCACTGTGCTAGATAACATGCACCTCATTTTCACAATAGCACCAGATGTGTGGGTGCCGTTACAGTTCCCATGTTTAGAGGAGGATGTTAAAATTTAATGAGGTTAAGTAATTCGCCATGTACTTCAACTGTGTTCCAAGTGTGCCTTAATTCAGAGTCGTTTTAAGCACTGTCCCATGCTGCCTCTCTAGTGATGGTGACACTCCATCTCTAATATCACATTCCTCAACTACCCCTCAAATAAATAGGTAAGTAATAAGTTTGGTGATCTAGCTCATTTTTCCTCTTACTCTGGTAGCTATGTTCATAAAAAGAGGTGAATGAAGTCACCTGATGCCCAGTAAAACTTGAAAGTTGTGGAAATGCTGAGTGTGGGGTCTTTGTGCTAAAAGTGTTTGAGAGCTCTGATCCTAGTAGTCTCCTGGAACATTGGATCGTGGTGCCCTGCAAAGAAATTAATATATGGAAGATAGCATGGTAATGTTCCATAATGCCTTGCAAATCACTTTATAAAATTGCTTTATTTCAGATCCTTGCCAGCTCCTAAAACCTATGGTAGCATGAAAGATGACAGTTGGAAAGATGGCTGTTATTGACCAGCAAAGACAAGAATGCAGAGGTCCACAGCTTCATGGATACCCCTTCACCAGGCTAAAAGACAACTTTTATATGCAGACTGTTCAGATAAGACTCTCGGGATTTATAAAATCCCAGCTCTCTCTGTCTTAATTAGCACAAACTGACAGAGATGATCAAGCAGCACTTTAATGACATTTAACATCAGATGTGTTTGGTAATCATACAATCACTCCATGGAATCACTTTTAGTTTTGCTTAATAGAAACTAAGTTGATTTTTAAATATTTGACAAAGGCCAATATCTGGGCAAAAAACTAATGGATGCCAAAGAGAAATGCCCATTTGTAAATGAGAGAGTACCTTTGTGCACAAGAAAATGGTGAATTCAGGCTATCCAAAACTTCACATCCAACCTAATTTACTGTATAAATAGTATCAATAAATATTTGTGTTAATGAGAACTAATATTCTGACTAATTATCTAAAATGTTTCACTAGTGTTTCACTAGTCCTCCAAGAAACTAGATTGAGATGGAAGAGGGCAGGGTGGGGAGAAACCTGGGCTAGAGATTTAAAACATGCCTAAATTTGGGAGGATTCTATAAATTATTTTTGCAGATTCATTAGAAAAGTTGTCATTTTGTTTAATCTTAAGTTTTGGATGTAGCTCCCATATCACCACTGCCAGATAGTGTGACCGCGTGCATCCATCATGTTGCATTGACACATCAGACTTCTGTGTTTGTTTTGATTGCCAAAAGGGCTTAATATCAGTTGTACAATCTTTCTAAACTTTATAGCTCCTGGCTCAGGAAAGATAGCCTTTGCTGTTGAAGCCAACTTCTTCACATGCTGTTATCTGTTATAGAACTAAGAGATCTTGTTTTTATTAGCAGGTTTCCATGGTGGGAAAGAGCAGGTAGTATGTGTCTTTATTCTTGATACAAATAACACCACCTCAGTGCTTACTACAACCTGGAACAAAACCATGCAACAAGAAGCGGGTGGAATAAAATCTATGCACTTAATTTACAAAATCTCTGGTAATGACAGTTGTATTGTTACTGTTAACTGACACAACAGTCTGCCATGTGGTGGGAAATTATAGCCTGCTGAATCCTACTTAAGCTGATCCACTTTAGACTGAGTAACTGTGCAAAACATCCTTTGAAGATACTGTCCCTGCTGACATAGATTTTGTCTGACATCAATTTTTGCATTTTTGGTAACAAATGAAACCGCCTGCATACGAATCTAACTTGTTAAATACTTGCTCTGTGATGGCCCTTATGTATATCCTGGAAATCACTTATTTTGGTTTTATTCAACTATTAGCAGACTAAAACTTCCTTCTGCAGCAGGCTTCTTGTTTTTCATGGTAAGGTCTTTTTTTAAATATTTAATTTGAACAGCTCTGAAATATTGGCACTTGGGTCACTAAAGGATTTTAAGATTTGAATGTAAGTTCATTTCCTGTTGGTCAAAGACATATCTGTAAGTTGGCAAAAGAAATTGAGAAATGGGAAGCTTAATATTCAGGATAGCATTGAGGTTGATAGCTTGAGAGAATGGCAAAACTTTTAAAACCAAGTCCCCTGTTTTGCTGTGACTGACACCATGGTAGTCTTATTAGCTTGACCAGTAGGGAGTCATTCCTTTAGCACAAAGCAGCAGGAGATTTAAACTGCCAGTGCTAATGTATTTTGGTGTATACTACAAGGAAGAAATTATATCCTTGAATTTGAGGGTGATGGGGATGGATCAGGAAAGGATGGCGCCAGAATTCCACATGATGATGAACTAAAAGATGTTGCTTTTCAGAGGAAGGTAAAGCATCTGTTTCGGGTAGGGGGATATCTCATGTAAAAATCTAAGTGAGTCAAAGAACTAGCCACTGTCTCTTTTTAAAACCATGTATACGCAACAGAAAATAGGTCTGTTTTCAGTGCAACATTGCAAAAAAAAATGCTGCAATCTAATAATAAAAAGGAATTTTAACTCTTATTACGGAAGACTCATTACATTTTTAAGTTAGATTATCAGTTTTGAAAGGAATATTCAGGTTATTTCACTTTGTTTTTAAATGGCTGCATCAGAAAAAAAAAGTCTATTTTTTTTTATTAAAATATTTCATCACTTGTTAAAATGTGTTTGGACCTGAGTTGGGTAAAGTGTTATTTTCCCTGCTGTTGTACTACCACAGACTATTGGCTTTTGGTTTCCTAAAGAGAAA